TCTTTCCCCCCTCCTCTTTGGTTTTGTTTTTTTGTTTTGTGGTAGTCTGACCCTTGGTTATCATTACAGAACTATGGAGGTGCAATGAGACCCCCACTGAATGCTTTAGGTGGCCCTGGAATGCCTGGAATGAACATGTAAGCAAAATGCTATATTATCCTGTAAAGTGTTCTCTTTTCTGTCTTCTAAAGTCACACCAATTTGTAACACAATTTAAGCTCAATTTCTCTGTAGTATAAAATGAAACTGTAGTATAAATGAACTGAACATGAGCTGTAGCATTTGCTTCATTTTCACAACATACTCTCCATGTTTTTCTTCCTTCCCTTGCAACCCATAATTTTTTTCCATTTTCAAATGCCACAAATGTCAACTTTTAGCCTGATTTTCATGTTTATCATAAAAATGAGTCTTTTATAAATAAGCACATAATATTTATGTCGTCCATACAAAAGTATGAAGAGATGATGACGCCAGGACCATGACTTGACTTTACAGTAGACGATGGAATATCGTTCATTTTAACACATATAACGTGATTCCTATGAGTTTTAAATTCTTATAAATATATATATATGTCTTTACTTTTGCTTTGTTGGGACCATTGTTAACCCAGGAAGAAGTCTCTCTGGTAGTTTCTTCTTTGTTAAAGAACTTTCCATAGTATACTTTCTTTTGAAAATTCAAAATATACTTAGGGAGTAAACTAACAGTTTTTTTTTGTTGTTTTTTTTACTGAAAGGGCCTTTCAAGCCCAAAGAGAGTAGTTGCTTCTATCAGCCAATATAATGCAATTTGTTAAGGAATTTTAATTTATTTTTCATTATCTTACTAGCCCTCAAAGTTCCATATACACCCAGAACTTGTGAATGACTTTCATTAATTGATTAGAGGATCCAATTCCATGATGTAGCCTAAAGAAAATTTATCAGAAATAATGAAAGAGCTCTATATAGGGTTCTGGGTAGTCTCCTCTAATATATTTCCCATTAGTCCATGTTTTGGTTACTTCCCTATCAAATTAAACAACTCTGCCATCATTTAATAGCATTGAATATATACTGAGGTGAGCTCTTTTGATGTACATAGGGATTTGTTTAAGTTTCTGGAACCATTTTCATGGAAAGCAGTTTTGCCTAAAATAGAAAATAGGTTAATAGGTGGATACCAGCCAGGCTCAAAACTAACAGAACAAGGGGAAAAAGTAGGTCAAATTTTCCTATCATGTCTTCTTACTTTTAAAGTAAAAATGGATAGACATGAAGTCTGACTTTTCTTAAATTCCTCAAAGGTTTAGGCTTATTAATGGTTTCTACAAAAAGGAGTGATATCTTGTGCTTATATCAAAAGCTGAAACTCTTAACAATAGGATTTAGATACACATAAAATTTACCTACCTAAGATTCTGACTTTAAAATGGAATGCCTTTTAAAGAATAATTTTGAATACTATGTATAGATGTAAGGAGTATACATTTTGAATGCTATGATCAACCCAAAATTCTCTTTAAATGTTAAGAGTGTATCTAATATCATTTTGTAGTGATGTGGTCGACTTTAGATCAACGCAGTTTTGCTAGTATAAAGGAAAGTTATTCTCATGTGACTATTGAGAGACTCAAATAGCTGTTTAAAATTGTCTCATTCCTTTCTCACATACATTTAAACAGATACATAAGGGTACATTTAATTCCCTAGACTATGGAGACTAAAAGTATGGCTGAAGGGCTTCCCTGGTGGCGCAGTGGTTGAGAGTCCGCCTGCCGATGCAGGGGACGCGGGTTCGTGCCCCGGGCCGGGAGGATCCCACATGCCGTGGAGCGGCTGGGCCCGTGAGCCATGGCCGCTGAGCCTGCGCGTCCGGAGCCTGTGCTCCGCAACGGGAGAGGCCACAACAGTGAGAGGCCCGTGTACCGCAAAAAAAACAAAACAAAAGGGTATGGCTGAAAATTTCAAATGATATTTTTTGTTCATATTTGGGTTTCTCATTTAAATATACCCAGATATTTTAAAATATTTTTATTACATAATATTTTACTATTTATATAATATCTGGTTTTTAAAGAGCCTTTAAGCTTTACAGACTCAAACTTCCATTATTTGTTACTGTTGACTGTTATTTGGAGTCTTATACCATTTTCAGTTTTCTATAAATTAGGATTCAAGGACAATGAAATCACAAATATTTCCCTCTAACAGGGAAAGTTCTGAAGTATGGAAGGTCCAACCAGAGAGACTCATTCTCTTATTGATATTGGCCCCAAGAAAGCAAAAGTGAATTTAATAATAAAACATATTATTGTCTCCATTGTACTCAATAAATTTTATTGAAATTCACTTCATAATTCATTATTGTTAAAACAAACTAAATCTTACTGTATTATGGCAAGTAAGTATTTCTAACTGGAATTATGGCTCCCTTCATGTCACTGTTTTACATGTTGGCTAACTTAAAAATTAAAGGAAAAGGCATTAGAATAGTGTTACCTTAGGCTGTGTTTTTAAGAGTCTAAGATATTTGTGTGTTGGGATCAGGAGGGATCTACTGGAGGATCATATCTGGATGAGGTTTCTTTAGCTCGTCACTTTTTATTATTTGACACCAAAGTATAATGACAGTAAAGAATACCAAACCCCGGTCATTAAAGTAACTAAATACCACAGTCTGTAACTGCAGCTTTCTCTCTTATATTGACACCAAACCATTTGGGACAAAATTCTGATAATTTTGTTGTCAAAAAAGTATTGGTGACCTCTAAAGAAAATAGTTATTCTGATATGATTTTTACATTTCCATGCTCCAAACTCAGGATAAATCATATGTAGTGTCACCTAAAATTAAAATAAGAGTATACTTTTAATGTTTATATAACTAGTATTATATATTTAGAAAAAAAATTTAATATCAATTTCAGTAGTTTAAAGTAGAATTTACAAACAACAGCCACAATGTAAATGTTTTCAAATGCATTATAGATTATTTTTTAAAGAAAACTATATTTCTAAATAAACTACATTTTTACAAATTTCAAAAGAGTGTAGGATTCAGTATTAAAATAGTTCTAATTCAACTTTGTATACCTTGCTATTTTATAGAAACTAAGAGGACAAATAATTTCAAAGGATCTAGACTTTCTTGTTCTAAATCACATCCTATAGAATTATAAAGTTTGTATGGTTATTATCTCGAAATGACTGAATTATAGAAAAAAAGAGAATTTTTCTCTTTGGTAGTCATGGTTGCTTTGATTTAATCATATCCATACACCCTTACCAAAAATTAAAGACTTCTTTTAAATTTCATTTTTCTCTTTATTTTTAAATGAGGCTAACCTGATTCTACTTCAAACTATACTTATGTAGAAATGTACATTCAAAATAATGCCTGTGTTATAGTTTGTAGATTACTCTCTTGATAATACTGATGGCCCTCAAAAGGAGTAGGAATTACCGCACTTAAGAAGTTGTTCTAATAGAACTACTCACTACTATAACCCTCACTTTATTTAGCGGTATTTGCAAAACTGAAAATGTTTTCAAACACAATGGTAATGGTGGGGGAAATTTAGCTTATTCAAATGAATTAACATTTAACCCATTACATTAAAATGTAATTTAATATGAAATACATGGTGATCTGAGATTAGATTAGTATTTGTCAAACAATTGAACTGCATAAAAGGTACTATATGGTTCTTAGAATAAATTTAACATTTAACTTCATCTTATTTAATTTGTATTTATTTACTTCAGTAAAATGTTTAATTATTTTAACATTTAGTTTAGCACATTAATTTAACATTAAACAAATTTTTAACTAACAAAATCATTTTATATTTAATATCTCATTCATACAGTCCTTGTTTAAACATAATATTTCAAAATATGAGATTGTCTGCATGTTGTTGCATACAAATTTTTGCCATGATTTGGATATATAGTATATTTTTATGTTGTTTTAAGATAAATATTTTCCAGTTTCTTTACTGTGTTTTATTTAACGTCAAACAAGTCAAGTGTTTTACTTGATCAGCATATATCCTATGCTTTAACCTCAGTTTCTGTCCATTAAGACACTGAATACTTTATGTAAAATCACCTTTCCAAAGTGTTCCAGTAACTAATTGTAAAGTCGTCATCATTAACCTAGAGAGGAACTATTTCCAGAGACAATACACCTGCCCCTCACCTTCTCCCTATGCATGATACTTTGACCAAGTCCATTCTGGTCAAAAGGGGACTTGCACTTGGGCATCCTAATAGAGCCTAAGGACACAATTTTTCATGCCCTTCCCTGCTGTTTACATTCCTGGTGAATCCCAAAATAACACCCAGAACAGTTCTAAATATTCCCAGCAAACATGGGTAATATAACTAACTTGGACAGCCTCTATCTAACATTTAGAACTTTAGGTTTAAGGTCGCTAGAATAAGAATCAGGGGACTTTTTTTTAAATTAAAAAATGTCACAGTGTTTTCATTGAGATTAGAGGGAAAAGGGGAATTTTGAGTGCCTCTAATTAGAGAAGACCTGCTGACAGTAGTCTATTTTTTATCAGGCAGTATATATTCAGGTACACTTAATACTAAAAAGCAAATGGACAAGAGATGTTTTTAATTTAATTAGGCATGAATTTTGTTTTAAAAGCTTTATGTCCTTTTAAGCTATAGAATAGGGAACATTCTCCCTTACCCTAACATGAAGTAATATACTGACATACATTAGCATAGATTACCTCCTATTTTTCCCCAAGATTTACTCTGGCCACTATCTTGAACTCCAATTATGAAAACAAGAAATGTGTTTCCCTTGTTTAATAGTAACCAAATCATCACTAGCACTGAAATATAGATTGATATATAGATGTATAAAGTAACATGATATTCTATGCAATTTTTTGAAGAGGAGGCAAATTTAGGTACCTACTATGTACATTTATTCATTTGTAGCTTAAGAGCAATCATTTTATGTATAATGATATTTTACAAAAAATTTCATTTTCATTTTGAATGATACATGCAGCACGTATTATTGTCATAATTATCTTTTATATTTACCTCATAATTAGTGATAAAGCTGTTTAAAACAGCTGTAAAACAGTGAAAGCTGTTTGGGGGAATGAAAAAAGTTTTGGATTTTAGAAATAAAAAAGCTGTGAAAATATAAAGAGTAATTTCAGTGCTGGACTAGAACTGCATGGTAACTGAATTATAAATGTTTGTATTTTATGATGTTATTGCTTACTGTGAAACATTCAGAGCATCAGTTAAAATTTCATTTGTCATTTTGTCTTACAGGGGTCCTGGTGGTGGTAGACCTTGGCCAAACCCAACAAATGCCAACTCAGTGAGTATACGTATTTTTTTCATTTTCTTTGCACTTTGTAGCATTTAACAACAAAAATCTGTTGCTTTTGAAAGCCCTGCAATTGGTTATATTAACCTTTTTTTTTAAGAAATCATTCAAAAAATAAATTTTTATATGTTTTTAGAAAACTATGTATAACTTTTGAAATTATGTGATTTTTTTCACTTCAAGGTCTAATGTAAACATGGATTCTATGTAGATTACCAGGCCCTCAAAAATAGAGGAGTAGTGTGATTTAAGGATACTCTACGGTAGCCTACATTTATCATGAAATTTATTTATTGTATAATGAATTCACCTTCTAAAATAACTATAATAATTACTAAGTTGCCAAATAAAATTAATCTCAGTTATTATTATTATATTTGCTGTTCTGGTTATACCTATTTGCTCTCTCACTGCCCCGAGAAGGAAGTACACATTTACTTACCTTGTGCCTGTGGGCTAAACTGCCATCCTTACACTTGGATCTATGTATCTGACATCATGGGAATTTTCCTTACAAGTTTTGTGGCCATGATTTGACTGCGTTAATATTTTTGTCTCTTATTAATGTCACAAATATAGGCACAGTTTAAAAATTAAGCTTTCAATCTTAAAATTAATATTGATATGATTTTAAATTTAATGATCCTGGAGATTTTTTTCTTGACTTTTGAAACCTTGAGTTCTTCAATCTGTGAGAGAGCTCTGCTCTGTACATTTGTGTAGTATGTGCACTGCACAAAGATGCCTGAGTCTAGGGAGTCAGAAGGAGGCTGAAATATAGCTGTTTTCCACTTGTGAAGTCTATGGATTATCTGCCCAGAAGGGATGCCTTTTGCTAATATGCAGAGGTACCTTCACTGACTAGCAGTGGCCTTAATGCTAAATAAACATGAAACTGATTCAATGTTTAATGTTAATTTAAACTTAAAGAAAACTTAAAGTGAGGTGTGGGTGGTATAGAAAGAATCATCCTAAATCCATTGCTATTCTAAAGCAGAAATCACTTTCTTCTCAATTAAGTAACTCATATTTTTAGAGAAAACGTTTACTTTATATTATCTGCCTATCTCTTAGTTTCAATAGCTATGACAGTTGCTAATTAAATAATATTGTTTGCGGTGGAGAGAGTGATGTTGCTGCTTCCATTTGGGTCTTCAGTTCACTATTTAAGTTCAACAAATCTTCTAAGATACCATTTTACCTGATTATGTTGTAATATGACTATCTTTTCTCCTCCAAATTTCTTTTAGTCTGCTTATATGCTTTTGACTAGTTCACATTTCTATTTGCCTCTTGTTATATATGCCTTTCAAATTTCAAGATTTCACTTTAAAAAGGCATCTAACTAGCAGCTCAAGATACTTTCTTTGAACTCCCCATTAAAATACCCATAAAGGTGCAGAAAAACAATTTTTTAATAACAGTGAAAACTCTGCAAATCTTCTTATTGTCAGAATCTGGAAAGAATTTCTATTATCTACATGTCTGATGAAACTGGGTTAAAAAGCACAATCGACGACCCACCTTAACTAGTAAGCCTTCCTGCCTAGAAGCAAGAGGACCCTCTCTCCTTCGTCACTGCCAGCTCAGCCAGCCATACCCTCCACTGCCCACCTCCTTTTGAACGCTTATCTGGAGATACTATCCTCCAAAAGCCACTAAGGAAGGTGGGCAGGATATGATGCTAAAGGTGGTGCATTGCACCTAGCGGGTATGTTATCCAAGTGAAGAGTATTAGATAGAGGCAGAGATGAGGAGAGAGTTATGCTTTCTGATCATTTTTAGTTTTTACATACCTAAACAACTCTTGGGGATTTCACGGAGCCGAGCACGTGAATAGGAGAATGTACTGTATCAGGGCAGCAGCTCTGCATTATTTTAGACCCTGAGAAACACTAGGCATTAGGGAAGGAGCTGAACTGTTCAAACTACTGAACAACCACTGTGAAATGGGCATTTGGCCAGCACACATGTAGGCACGTAATCAAGTTGAAAGCAGTCCCTTCTGTTAATATATACCACATATGGGTACACTTCCCCCCAAAGAATTTGAATAGGGAAAAGTTGTGAAGGAACACCTATACTTTTCTCTTTGGAAAAAGAAAGGAGTCATCATCCTGAGCACAGAAAGGAAAACCATTCCTCTGAATATGATAGATTATGAGAAGAAAAAAACTAAAGACAACTGATGACTTTCTAGCAAAAACATAAGGCTTACATGAAACAAAGCAAAAGTATTAAAGAGAGATTCTTTTCCCCTAAACACCATTGATTATGTTGTAGTGACAATTTATCTGTATTATTTTGAATTCCAAGTTCTTTGGACTTTTTGTCCGTATTTAAAATTACAAATACTTTTCATTTTCATCTGGCTCCTCAGAGCAGCACATTAAAGTGGCTGGTTGTTTTGTTTTTGCTGTTTCCAAATATGTTTTATATACTTTTTTTCTTTTAAATACTTTGTGTTTCCTAAAAACAAGGACATCTTTCATAACCATAGTATAAGGATCAAAATTTTAAAATTAATATTGATGTAATCCATTTTCAAAGCTGTAAACCTTATTTTGATTTCACCAGTTGCCCCAAAAATATCCTTTGTAACAAAAGAAAATCCCAGTTCACTTGCTGCACTCATCTGTCATGTCTCTTTGTCTCCTTTAACCTGGAACAGGCCCCTTAACTTTTGTCTTTCGTAAACTTGGAGTTTTGTTGACTGCAAGCCAGTTATTTTGTAGAATGTCCCATAAGTTGGTCTTGGCTGATGCTTCCTCATGATTAGATTCATGTTATATATATTTGGCAGGAATCCACAGAAGTAATTTTGTGTTTTGCTCAGTGCATCATTTCAGGGGGCATATGATGGTGATTTATCTATTACTTGTGATGTTAACTTTGATCACTTAGTTAGATGATGCTTGTTAGGTTTCTCCTAGCTTGTTAAATTACTATTTCTCCCTTTGTAATTTTCAACCTGTGAAGACATACTTTGACACTACCATAAAGATCGTACTTTAATCTGCTACTTTTAGTATCCATTGATGAATCTTGCCTGAATCGTTTTTTTGCTATGTTGGTTGCCAAATGTCTATTTTCTAATTCTGTCTTTCCTTCTCCACTTATTAGATGACTTTCTACTATAAGAGATTTTCTTTCTTCTCCAATCATTCATGTAATCCAGTGTACTCGTGGATTCTTACCTTGTCCAATAGGTTTTTTTAATACTAAAATCATTTCAGATTTGTCCAGTTAAAACCCTTTCAGGTTGGATCATTTGTCCTTTTGACATGACCCCATTATTCTTTGAGCATTTTGTTTTTTGGGTTTTTTTTTTTTGTTTTTTTTTTTTTTGCGGTATGTGGGCCTCTCACTGTTGTGGCCTCTCCCTCTCCGGACGCGCAGGCTCAGCGGCCATGGCTCACGGGCCCAGCCGCTCCGCGGCACGTGGGATCTTCCCCGACCGGGGCACAAACCCGTGTCCCCTGCATCGGCAGGCAGACTCTCAACCACTGCGCCACCAGGGAAGCCCTCTTTGAGCATTTTGAAGCTCATATTTTCCCAGCCTTAGCCTTGGAAACAGCCATTTTTTAAGGGTCCCTGGTTCCTTTTAGTGGAGAGTGGTATTTAGAACCCATTGGAGTGATCTAGCTTCTAACCCTCTCAACCAACAGAACTAGGATACAGATGTATGTATATACACACACCCACACACATCTGTATCTTTCTGTATCTCTACATATTAAAACCATGAGTGCACACTGCAGCACTATTTATAATAGCCAAGACATGGAAGCAACCTAAATGGTCCATCAACAGATGAATGGATAAAAGAAGATGTGGTACATATATATAATGGAATATTACTCAGCCATAAAAAAGAATGAAATAATGCCATTTGCAGCAACATGGATGGACCTAGAGATTATCATACTAAGTGAAGTAAGTCAGACAAAGACAAATATCACATGATATAACTCATATGTGGAATCTGATTTTTTAAAAATAATACAAATGAACTTATTTACAAACAGAAACAGACTCACGGATATCGAAAACAAACTTATGGTTACCAAAGGGGAAACGTGGAGGGGAGGGATAAATCAGGAGCTTGGGATTAAAATATACACACTACTATATATAAAATGGATAATCAACAAGGATCTACTGTATAGCACAGGGAACTCTACTCAATATTCTGTGATAACCTGTATCAGAAAAGAATCTGAAAAAGAATGAATCTATGTATATGTATAACTGAATCACTTTGCTGTACACCTGAAACTAACACAACACTGTAAATCAACTGTAATCCAATAAAATTTTTTAAAAACCCCGTGAGTGCACACTGGTGCTTCAACTTCAATTCAGTACAACAGAGTTCACTCTAGACTTTCTGCTTTCCAGGTTTATACTTCACTTCTCTGAAAGTGAGAAATCTACCAACCGTTATCCACAATACATTTATTTATCTGCTTAATCTTTATCTTTACATAGTTTTGTCATATACAAGTGTTTTGATCAAAAATGTTTTTGGCACTGTTTTGCATGGCAGCAGGAGAAACATTTTTAAGGACAAATTTATGTTTTTAATTCAAAATAAGAGTATGATTTTTTACTTTTAACTTCCTTCACTCTGAGCATTACAGTACTGGCCTCAGATTCTTACTTGGAAGCTTATTTACAAGTCTACCAACCATTTTTTTCTTTTTTATGTTTTTCACAAAGAACTGTGCATTTGGGTTGAACTATAAAGCAAGTTCTAATCATTAAGTAGCAAGCACTTTTATCAAAAATATCTTAATTAGCTTTGTCTGTAGACACTTTTGATTACAAGGTATAGAAAACTAACCAAACTAGGCTCATATTGAAAGAGAATATTACTGGATCATGTATCTGAAAAGTGCAGATATAAATTTGCTTTGGGGTACATTTGGTTCCAAGTATTCAAATAACATCATCAGACCCTGCCTCTATTCATTGCTTACCTTTGTTCC